GGAACAGTACAGCTATGACGACCTCCACTTGGTCTGCTGCCATGAACCGGGCAGGAAGGGATCCTGGGTGACCACTGGCCCCAAACAAGGGCGTCGGACTAGGTGTGCTTCCATGCCGGAAGGATGCCATCACGAGTCATCAGAGGTCATGGGTCAAACTGTGGAAGTAGCAGCTCCCATTGACGATATTGAGGTTTATTGCGAGTTGCCGGGGGAATCTAAAGTTATTGAGTCAGTGCATGCGGACATTTCAGAGACCACATGTACTGAACTGGAGACTGACCAGAACAGTGGGATGTCTAGCGCAAATATTGGCTGTGTAACTGATACCGAGACAATAGCTTTAGGTGATGCGGAAAGCAGACAGGATTATAACTTTGGGAATAATGAAAATATCTGTGAAAGTCCAAACGCATGTGAGAACCCACAATGCATCACTATCCATTCTAACAATGAGTCTCCACTGTGCGCGGGTGACAGTCCTGGCAGTTCTCCAAATCACCAGGAAACAAAAGAGACGCATACTGCAGGGCACAGCATTGCACCTCAAACCTCTGACCCCACAGCTACGACAACTGACCACAAACATGTAGGAGATGGGCATCCTAATTCTAGTTTGGATGTCGCAGCGGTGCATGCAAAATCATTGGACAGTTCTGTTCTTATGGAGAATCATTGTATTTCACCCATTTCTAACCAAACAGAAGATGCTGTTGTGATGAGGGAACAACAAGTTGACAAAGGACTAAGTCAGACCTCGAGGAAGGATTGTGCTGACGATCGAGATGGACTGAGTAACCCTGGAGGACACCTGATCGAAAATAAAGACAATACTTTAAAAAGCATTCAAGCTGGAGAGGGGGAGTGTCAAGAGACCAGTGAGACATTGGCTGAAATTGTTAACAGTGAACTAGCCAACCAGATGTTATTGCAGCAGGAGGCAGGCGAAATGCATGGGCCAAATGAAGACAAAAGTGAAGAATGTACAAATGAAAGAACTGAGCCTATATATTGTGAAATTCTGACCAATGGCGACAGTGATGTTAATGTCACAGCTTTTGAACTGTATTCAGAAGAAGAGTTTACACAGACAAGCGCGACTCAGTGTGCAGATAAACAAGTGTCAAATTCTATTATAAATTCAACGGAAAAAACTTTTGTGGACCAAGCTGTGTCTCATCCAGAGAAGTCCATCTCTAAGTTAGACACGATACCAGAGGCTACCTTGGCTGAACCACATGCCCAACAGAGATTCAATTTAACTGCACTTGAGGTTTTGCCTAATGGTCCGACTGCTGAAAAACAGACCCCGGAGACGCAGCTGTCTTTTGCACAGGTCAGAGATGAGGTCGCCCCATCTGATTGTTATGGCAACCGAGCGTCCAGTCCGCCGCGCCGTGACACACCCGCTGAAGAGGTGACAGATGGTCCCAGGGAGCAGCATACACCTGTACACGCTGCCACTGGTGACACAAATAAGACTGAGCAAGTTTTAGAAGGAGAGCCCAGAGTTAAAGTGCGTGTAAAAAAGGTAAGGCTGCACCATTAGTTGCATTTTTATTTTTTTTATTTTGTTTTCAGTCTAATTCATAATTGCGGTTTCAATAAAATGACACGCACCATGTAGTCAAGGCCAACAAGTCATTTTGGTCCCACACTCTGGCGAGCCTCATGGAAAACAATGACTTCACTCTCACATGCTTCGAGAGATCTGTGAGTGAGTGGGGGGATCTGCGAAATGTTTTACTCTTTCTCAACGGCTCATTGCAAAACAAGGTCCTATAAGGGCATAAGGCTCCCAATGCAGAGGCGAGCTCAAGCAGCCTCCGCTGTGACACACTCCAACCACCTTTTCAAATTTAGTTATTAACATCATGCTCAATGACAGTACTTCATTCATCTGGTTGGACTGACTACGGTCTGATAAGCACCAGAGCTTTGAGCTTTTATAATGACTCATTATATTACCATTTCCCTTGCACTGTTAGGACCGCCGTTATTACAATGTATTTGTGTAAAGCTTAATGTGAAAACACTTGATGTGGTAAACATACAAGATATTCCTGCAGTTTGTTATAATCACATTACAGTAATTAGCATTTTAAAATTGGCCATCTGGTTTTTAGCTGTGGCTTTACATGATCCTGCTGGACTTTGTCTCTAAGTTTATTTGTTTTAGCGACCAGCTCTTATCCTGACCTGAGGCCTAATGAGCTCCAGTGTCGTTTATCTGCTCAGCAGAAGAGCAGGAAACACCTTTTGCTGATTGCTTTTTCTCAATGTAATTATGAAGGAAACAAGACTAATTGAATGGTTATGGATGTTTGGTTATGGGCTGTAAAAACATTAAGAACACACAAGAGTTTTGTCAGAATAAGGCTTACATTGGTTTGTGGGGCAGATGTGTGAGAGGAAAGAGAAAGGAGTGGTCTTAAAGTGCACACAGTGTGAGAACTGTCTCCCATGTTAAAAAAAAACAGGATGTTGGGAGGAATGTAACTGAAACCTCAAGAGATGGGAAAGCAAGAACACAACCTAACATGCGTGCCCTTAAAACAGAGGTTTCTAACTGGCTGCACTTGTTTTTAATTTGTTCATTTTGTGGTTGTTTTTTCCATGCTGAGCATGATGCCTTTGTTCATTCAGTGAGGCCTCGTAAAGATGTCATTGTTTTACCTCGTACAAAGTTTCATTGTGAAAGTTTCCTTGGGAGACAGAGTAGAGTGGTGATGAACAGCCTGAGCTCAGACTGGAAGCACCAATATGGATGCACATGGCCCCTCATGTCTGTGTCTACCCCAGCTAACCTAACAGGGACTGCTTTGGACAGACTAATTGGCCTCTAACTGGAAACAAAATTAAAGTGCCTGTCATAAGACATTATTAAGATGCTGGTGAGAGTCGGCCCTATGCTCCGCGCACAGTGTGGATGTGACAGCAGACTTGGTCTAGGAAGAACCATTAAACACATTAACATTACTGACAAATAAGCTCATATGTGGGCTGTAATCATACACACCCCGAAAACCACAGTTTGCTGTGTTCAGTACAAAGATCTCTTCTAAACAGTTAACAGTGTCCTATAAGCGTGAGCACACACAGAGTGACTGAATGAGCTCATTCTCATAAAAACAACTTCATAAAAATAGTACCCATTAGAAGGGAATAATACAAGGTTTGTTTAGCACCACTGGGCCAACTTTGTGACATCATCTCTGGATCTTTCTTGAGAGTAAAATGAAACAGAATGCCATAAGATACGCTGTGGGAACAAAACGCACACTGTTTTTATACAAGCCTATTACTTGGGGACTTAAACTTCATGAAAACAACTTGACACAGTGCAGTAAGCTTATCTCTAAGCTGCCTTACAGCCTAACAGCCACTAGAGGTCAGTGTGCGACTGAGTTTTAATGCTGAGTAAAGACTAACGTCTAGTTCAAAATTTAGTTGAACCTTGTTTGAATTAAAGACAACAATGACAACATACATGTGCTTTGTGTTAGCATGAACAAGTACGTCTGGACTCAATGATTCTTCTGCTGATGAAGCTGGATCAGCTCGACCAAGAAATCGAGAACGCTCTGAGTGCAACATCCTCCACAAGGAGCACGGCGACCCTTCCCCGGCATCAGGTACAGCACAGCTCTTTAGAAAATATTTAATAATAATACATTTTATTTATTTTGTTATAGATGTTCTCTTAAATAGTGAATCCATTATTATAGTTTAAAGGGCCCATATTAGCCCATAAGGGCTGTTTTCTGATCTGTGTCATAATGTTTCCTCATCAAAAACATACTTGTGTTTTGATTCATTGACACGTGTTTAATTAACACACAAACCCTGTATATTTAGGTTGAGTTCTTCTCTCAAACTGAAAACACTTTGTTCTACCTTGTGATGGAATCCATATAATACAGGAAGTGTTCCACTCCATACACCTTCACTAGAATCATTTGGATAATTTTGGCTCTGGAATTGTTCATCTCTACTGAACCAAAAGTAAAAGTAGCTGTTAACTTGCAAACTACTGTTTCATGACATCATAAGGTGGAACAGAGCATTTTGAGCTTTGGAGATAATAATAAAGACTAATAATAAAGGATTACTGAAAGATGTGTGAATGAAACAAAACACAACTCCGGGTATGTTTTTGAGGAGGTAAGACCATTCGGACATGGCTTAAAGCTCATAAGAGTCACTTTTGCATAATATAGGACCTTTAATAATAAGGTCATGCTACTATTCTTCCATGCAGGAGTTTGATGGATCTGGATTAACAGTGAGAAGATCTCCCCAGCTGAATGACAGCCCCTTCCCCTGGATCCCAGAGGCCGGTCTTGGAGCAAAGCCCAAAAACGGAGTAAGTGACTGAACATATTTAACATAACATTACAGGTACATGGCACATGACAAGGTACAGCCCCTCTGTAACACTGTAAATCACCCTTGTTAAAGGTCCTATATTACACAAAATTGACTCTTTTGAGATTAAAGCCCTGTTCTAATACCTGAAGTTGTGTAGAGTAGTGATCCAAATGATTGTTGTGAAGGTGTAGACTTTAAAAACACAGTGGAGCACTTCCTTGTATCGCCAAGTGTAAGTGTTTTCTGTTTGACCAAAAAACCTAAATATGGTGGATTTGTGTGTTAAACATGTGTGAATGAAACAAATCACAAGTCCTGGTATGTTTGTCATGAGGAAACAACATTATAACAGATCACAAAATAACATAATTTGGGCCTTTTATCATTTCTCTGTTGTTTTTAAATCTAGTTATCAAAGCCAAAACCATAGTCTTGTGTACAGACGGCTTGTTTTGATCTTCCTTATAATTTTCTGAAAACCGTATGGGAACAGAACAACAGTGTCATATTTGTACAGAAACAAACATCAAAAATATGCACATAGTTGTTGTTAATCTTGCAATTGTAGGAATGTCTCCCCATTGCTTAGAGCTCAGCCAAGCAGACGTTAAACTCTATAATTAGCTGCTCCCAAACCTCTAGATCCTTTCGCCTCAACAAAGGGGTCAATCGGGAGGGTCCTGGAGGTGAAAAGCCAACGTCGGGGGAGTTGGGGGGGCATGCTTCTGGAGAGATGTGCTTGCTTGCTCACTTAATGATTTTGTCAGGCCTTTTTTACAACTGACTTCAGAATGAGGGCAGAGTGAAAGGGCCAGTATGCAGCGGTCTGACCCTGAGCTGTTGTTCAAATAGGAAAAACTGACACTGGTTTGACATGACTGCCAAGATTTGAATTGAAAAACACTTATTATCATGGTATTTGAAAACAGACGGTTAACATTTTTCTTAGTATTTGCAGTCCTTTGTGTGTTTTCTGAACTGCAGTAGTTGGTATCTGTGAAACTGTGGCGTGTTGTGAGAATAACGCAAGTCAGATTACTTTAGAAGAAAATGATTGTTGTTCAGAATCAAAAATCTGTCAGAAAAACTTCCTTTTCACTGTCTGTGAACAATTCACAAAAACAATGAGTTAATTGTAAAATTTAAAGGTCATATATATTGTGAAATTTACTCTTGTGAGCTTTAAGCCATATTTAAATGTTGTCTGGCACCTAGGGATGTAATAATAACTGAAATATCCTGATATTGTATCGTCAAAGTTCTCACAATTATATTCTGGACCATCACAATATATCGAATTACAAGTCTCTTTGCTTAAATTAAAAGTTATGGTGCAGCAATAGCTAAAAAAAAAAAAAAAAAAAGACAGAGGGAACTACATAGACCATGATCCATTGCTCCATTTCAGTGCAGACTACAAGAAAAAATAACAGTTCTAAGCACTTTTAAGTCTTAGTTTAAGTTTTGTCAAGGCATTTTAAGAGGAAAAAGTAGCATATTTACAGTTTTGTTCACAGCCTCCACAAAATATTGCAATAAATATCGTACCGTGAGGTTCATACCTTGATGATATCGTATCGTGAGACATGGATATTGTTACACCCCTACTGGCACCTCTTTAAAAATCTGGAGTTGCGTTTTGTTTCATTCACACATGTTTGAGTAATTTTTTTATAATTAATTTGCCTACATTTGCAAAGCTCAGAATGCTCTGTTCCAGGTTATCATGTCATGGAGTGGTGGATTTCAAGTGAACAGCTCCTTTTACTTTTTGTTTAGTAGAGACATGTCCTACCACATGATATCAGAAGGTGGAACAGAGTGTTTTGTTTGAGAGAAGAACTCTAAATATTCAAGGCTTGTGTGAATGAAACAAAACACAGCTTTGGGTATGTTTTAACATTATAACATAAATCAGAAAATAGTTTAATGTGGGCCCCTTAAATTACAAGCCATGTGTCTTATAACTGAATCCTGCACATATTTATAAAGTTTTGTTGTGTTATAGAAGAACCTCACAAAAAAAAATATTATGAATGCTTTCTAGACAAGATAAAAATATGGCTGCGTGTTGAAACATCACAACATCCACATGAAACCACATCTGTCATTCCAGGATTATCTATTGCACATGCTTGACATTACTTACTTTTCATCGCATTTCACAACTGCATTACTTTGCCTGGTTGTGGGCTGGTAGACACTTGTTATATATGGTTTCTAAAGATAGACCTCTGATATTTATTAGCGTATGGGCCTTAAAGGTTTCAAAGGTTCAAATACTGTTAATGTTGTTATTGTTTTTGTCTGGAATGTTTCACAGTATGATATTAAATCTCTATCTTCATGGAGACCAAACCAGACCAAGTTACAGGTCAGATCTGTGAAGAGGCAACCCCGCTCACAGTCAGCCTCCAGGTATTTATGAGCTGTAAAACCCCATCCAAATCCACTTTATTTCTATAGCACATTTTACAAACAAAGCAGTTTCCAAAGTGCTGCACAGAGATCATAAAATGAAGGCAACGAAAAGGTAAATTGCTAAAATTTGATGATACCAATCCTAAAACAATAAAACCAGTAGAAATCAAATAAAAGCAAAACCATAAAAGTCATAAAATAGCAATAAATAAGTCAGAGAGTAAAAGTGGGTCTTGAGACAAGATTTAAAACACTCGACTGTGGAGACTGTTTGGACATGGGGAGCAGAGCGTTCCAGAGCTTAGGGCTAACCACAGAAAAGGCCATGTCCCCCCGGTGATGTGCCCTTTTTGTTTGAGGAGGTTTGTAACTCATGTAAAAAATAAGCATTCGCGGAGATCCAGATCCATTTATCCATTTATTTTAAAGAACAAAAAAATAATATTAATATTCTCCGTGGCTGATTTTCTTTTCGATATAATGTGGTCCCCCCCTACTATTATATAAAAAGTATCAAATTAATAACTTCTTAAATAAATATAAACTGGCTCCAACACCCGGTTTTGAGTTTCATTGTAGACACCGCGAGCTGGATGTGGCCCTCGGACCGGAAATTTGGAATGAGTCAGAGATGTATTGTGGAGGCAGTCCATTCAAAGCTTTAAAAACAAACAATACAATCTCTAAATCAACTCTAAAACGATCTGAAAGCCAGTGCAAGGGTGCTAAAATCGGGGTAGCGTGATCATATTTTTTGTTCCAGTTAAAAGTACAGCAGAATTCTGGACCAACTGTAAGCGAGAGAAATGCAAGAAATGACAGTAATCTAAACAAGACACGTGTAGTTTAATAAATGTAATGTAGAGCTGTTTAATGTCATACTGTGGAATATTTCAGGAAGATTAATAACATCTCCACCGAGAGAAGCATTTGACATACCTCCCACCGGTGCACCTTTAAATCTCTAGGACGGGGTGATATTTTGTTTTGGGTGACCTACAGCCAAAAAATACCCATAGAGCTTTATTTGAACACTTAAGTGCAAATAGATAATTGCTGAAAATGTGACTCCACAGCTCTCTTATAGGTCTGTGGGTGAGTTTTTAGTAAATTTAAATGACATAATTTGGGGGAGAAAATCTAAATCAACCTCACATATCGTCTCAAAAAATATCGGAGTAATGGTTTCCAAAAACACATCAGGGTTCCTTGTGGAGTGATTGATTCAGGCCAAAGGGATGGTGGCTTTTTAAAGAGCCTCTCCTTAATACTTGTGGAGGAGGGTTGAATCCCTTTCGAACTCTCAAGTGCGTGACGGGCACTTGATCTTTTTAGTGGCACAGTACAAGTGGTTTCCGTGATGAGGACAAATGTTCGAAGAGTTCCTAGAAGATGTTGTACTTGTACTATACCCAGAATCAAATAATACTCCACATTACATTTTGTTCTCTCATGAATTCACATAGTTATTGACTTGAATGTTTTAACTTTCATGATTTTTTTGTATTAGTTATGTGTAAATTATGTGAACTCATATATATTTTGCTAACTACTGACTTGAATTGACTCATTTTGTTCTCCAAAAGTTCGATTCTCAATTCAGTTGTTACTTTTTTCCATCGCCACAAAAAAATTTTCTACAATCTACAGCAAATGATAAAAATGTAAAAGATTGTATTCATCATTTTTAACCCATTGGCCATTGGGGAAATTTTTTAGGAATCAGATGTGAGGAAATAAAAACTGATTTTCTTCCAAGCGAACTGATTTGAACTTTGTTGGAATCAGACCTGTTATTATAACAAATGTGAAGTGCGATATATTGCTTTAGAAAATACAGATAATGAACGATAGCACTGAAACTAATTTATGTCACTGTCACAATAACTCAAAAACAAGATTATTCATTGAAAAAATAGCATTAAAATGGCAGAAATTAAACACTTTAGAAGCCAGTTTTTATCTCTACTAAGTTATTTATTTCAACCTTCTACAGCTCAAAATGTTATCATAGTACAAGAAAATAACAAAAAACTGATATAGTAATTATCGTGACACGCCTACTTGACATTTGTATTTGTTGTTTGTAACTTAGTAAGATTTGTACCCTGGAAATAGATTACATTCTGCTGTTTTCTTGCACTGACAAATGTACAATAATAACATTTGCTGAGGACAGACACTTGTTTGCATTCCTTCCACCACTTGTTACAAAGGCATCGGGTTCAAGTGAACTGACTCAGGGCACATGCTAGCGTTACCCTGTGATATTGTTAGCCTTCAGCAGGTGGTTGTTGTTCCTGCATCAGATTTGGGGCCAACATGAGAGGATGTTGTGCCTCAGCAGGTGTCTTCTCTGTGGGGGAAAAGCTATTCTTTCCTCTCAGTGTTTTTAAGCAGGTCCATACTCAGTCCTCTGTGGAGCAGGTGGCTCGCTGGGTTGTTTGTTTTGAATTGTTGTTTTTGTGAGCAGGTGGGTTTCATTGGGTTTATAAAACCACACACTATACTTTATATCTATATATGTCATATACCTACATATGGTTTATATTTGTCATGTGCTGTTTTTCCGGA